GTCATTCTTTAATTAACAGATCATTTTATGTTCTGAACTCCTTCTCTGACAGTTCATCTACTGCGCTGTCAGTGGATTCTGTTATTGTAGTACCTTGGTTTGTTTGGGGCACTTTCCTCCCTTGTTTTTTCATGTTGTCTATGTGTCTTCCTTTCTTGCAGTAAGGATCTGAGRTATTACAGTTTCTACATTATAATCTTATAGTGTCCGTGCAGATTATCTGTGTCTCACCTTGGTGTTGGGCTTGCAGATCTTGCCAGTGTCCCATGATGGATGCTACTGCAACTAAAGGTGGTGGTGGCAATAGCGGAGGTAACTCAAGGTAGGCAGTGGGGGTGGCCCAAGATGGCTGCAACCACTTTCAGAGATGGGGCTGAAAGGGCCTTATAATGGAAACATCTTCCTGTTTCAAGATGCAGCTGCTTCTAGGCCCTGTCTGTTGTTGCAAGGTGGAGGCTGCTGCATGRGGAGGGATATGGCAATGGCTGCAGTGTCCCGAGATGGAGGTGGGGTAGGCCTGGGCTCCCAGGTGGGCCTGGGGGGTGGTGCTGGGCCTGACCTGGACCTGGGTTCCTGCATGGGTCTGCTGGTCGGCGGAGACAATCCTGGGCCTAACCTGGGCCTGGGCTCCTGCACTGGTGGCAGGGGCTGATAATCTATTTTTGATGTCTTCAAAATAAGTTTGATGACTTTCTTAAACACCGTTAATGGTATATAACTCACTTATTGTGATCTTACCCGCTTAAAGTGTTTTTTTTTTTTTTTTTTTTTTTTGTATATTCTAGACATGTGGAGACATCCCAATGATTGAATGTTGGACATTTATCTCACTTCAAAGAAACTCTGTCTTATGTTTCATCTTTATCCTTTAAAAAGCATAAAATATATAAAACGAAATTAATAAAAAATTTAAAATAAAGAACATGAGAAAGCTTAATGGAAAAAATTTAAAGTTATATTGGTAGGGTGTATATATTTGATGTGCATATACTACGTATGACAATTTTTATAAAGTATTGCAATTGTAGGGATAAAGTCACCTTTGAGTCAGAATTCTATTTACAGTTTTCTCACTAACCTGGACTCTAATAATTAGCATGAATTTAACACTATGAATGCTCAGTGGTTCATAAAAACTTCACGGATTCTCTGGAGGAGATCCATCACAGAGGAATGATTCTTGGGTTTGCTTCCTGATAGAAATTAAACATTCCCAAGGGGACACCTGGTGATTTTTAAATCAAACCAAAGAAAAAAGAATTTTCCTGGCAAGGGATCAATCCCTCTTGCCCTCTTTCTTCCAACACACACACACACACACACACACACACACAATATTGACTGAAAATTTTCTAATTGCTATCTACTCTGTACCCAGGGGAGCTGAATTACTTGCAAAGACACAAGAATAATAGACTTAATGAGGAGCGCTGAGAATCCAACCCTTGAGATGGTAGGAATTTTAAGCATGCCCTTCTCTCCCCTCATATACTCCTCTGCTCCAAGCTTCTGTGAAAACSCAAGTGGGCTCCCTAGGACTGGTTGTGCAGAAGGGATGTCTCTTATGGTAGTCCTTGGAGAGAGTCAGCGTGTCCAGTGTGGCTGGTGCAGCAAGAAGGGAAAAGAGAAGATGGGCACTGGGCTGTACTCCAGGACAATGACCCTGGGGCAGCCCAGGGTAGTCAGTCTATGAAGGCGAAGGTCCTGCACGTGCAAGGTACTTTATTTTCCACCGAATCATCTTTTCAGGCTCCCATTCTGCCTCTTTCCTTGCTCTCTGGAATTCTGAACCTTAATGCAAGAGTCTGAAATGGCCATTCCTTGAAGGCRGTGCTTTCTGGAGAGTTTCCTATCTCCTCCACTCCCTCCCTGGATGACAGGTCCCTACTAGATTTCCTCTTTCAATTCATTTATTTATTAACTGATCACTGAAGATCCCTCCTGCATGAGGTATTGTTCTGACATAATTGGATTTTTTTTTTTATAATCTACCGATGCTGCTGTCAGACTGACTTAATGACGTTACTGAATAGCTGCAGATTGCGGTGATTGTCATTGTCACTATCAGTGCACTTCAGTGGCCACAACTACAGTCGTGATTATTTGTGATGTGTGGTACTCAGGCCAATTCTGATCTCATCTCAAGAAAAATATTGAATGTTCAAAGTTGGAGTACATTCTCTAGGGGTGTTTATGAGGTGAACACAAATATCACAGCATTTTATTGTAGCTTTCCTATATTCTTTTTATATATTCTTTTTATTGAGTTAAAAAATTTTCCTTGGTTTCTRCATGTCTGAGGATTCTTTGTCTTGCCGTTAAAAGAGCGTCATAAGCTGCTGAATCTTTTCAAARATGAAAGTRTGGGCCTCCCACACTCTGTCCCTGCTGACCCTCATCCCCTGCTCTCCGTCACACCAGCCTCTCCTAACCYCTCCCAGTGTCAGCTTTCCATTGATAGGACAGCCACACCTTCTCTTCTCTCAGCCTAGATGTCTCTTCCTTCCTTCCTCTAATTACCATCACCCCCCCTTCAGCCCAGCATCCCTTTTTCAAAGAAGACTCTTCTTCCCACCTTCACAGATAAAATTAATATAAAATAACTTTTTTTTCTGTACTGAATTAATTTACATTACCAGGCATTCATAATACTTATTCTTTTTCAATACTTATTTTTAAATCATCAATTTAGGTCTTTTAATTTTTCCAGGATGACTGATTTGCATAATGCTTGAATATTTGTMATAAAATCCATCAACTATAGATTTTGTTCATTAAATATGCTGATTTTAATAAAATACCTCTCCAATCTAGAGCAGGGACACCGGAGCACAATCTCACACATTCTTGTGTGTGTGTTTCTGGTGCTGGGGATTGAATCCGGGGCACTTTTCCACTAAGCTACCTCCCCAGCCCCTTTTATTTTTTATGTCCAGGTACGGTCTTGCTGCATTTCCCAGGCTTTGCCTGCCTTTTGGAATATTCTTGCCTCTGAATCCTGAATAGCTGGCTGCCATGTGGGGGGCTCCGATCCAGGAAGCAAGGTTCAGGGTTCTGGCAGTTGAAAGATCCTAGGTGCAGTTGGGATAGTAGACAGGCCTTATTCAGAGGTGGCAGCAGCCGCTCCCCCCAGGCCATGTCCATAGGCCTTTTTCTATATTCAGGCCAGACAAAGAAGGCACAGTGCCAATAGGTTACATTAGTGCATACATGCTCACAAGAAAATGTTTATGACCTTGGGTACATACTAAATACGCATCCCTCCAAAAGCCTTGGAGAGGGAGCCTAATTATAGCCACCATGGGCCTGCCCAATCCTGAGTTACAAGTGTGCCCCCCTACACAGGCTTTGTACTTGAAGTTAATGGTGGTGCCTTCTCTTTCCTTCTCTTGTGTATATAGTCCACACACTGATTCCTCCTTTGGAAACCTTCACCTGGCAGCAAYTCTCTGAAAGGAGCCATAGGGAGCTTCCTTAGTTTGAAGGCCTGTATGCCGTTAAAAGAAACAACTCAGATGTTGTATTCATGATGATGGTAATTTCATCCTTCATGGCTGCCCCAGTGAAGAGGGATATTGACAAACAGTAGCCAGGCAAGACAGATGCATTTCGACGTTTAAGAACAAAAGCTCATACTTACAAAATGTTCATTGCTATGTCATGGGAACCGCAGGAGAAAAATTACATGCATTATCTCTTTTACTTTCACTCTCATCATACCATGTAGTGAATGTTCATGATTCTTACCGTAGAGGTGAAGGATATCCATCTAAGAGAGTCTAAATATTTTGTCTCAAGACCACACAAATGCTAAAGTCAAGGGTCAAATTTTTTTCTGATATCTGAAATCTAGAAATAAATAAGGAATAAAAAAAAGGGGATCTCATGAAAATTGAAGGGAGAAGAGTAAAGCAGAGGAAGGGGATCAAGGGAGAGGAAGGAGGATGAGAAAAGGGAGGAAGAGAGGAAYGAAATTGACCCAATTATGCCATCTGCCTGTGTGACGGCATCACAATAAGTCCCACGTTTATGTGTAATTATAATGCAGAAGTTTGGAAAGGTAAAGGCATATGAGGATCAGTAAAGTAGAGGGAAAAAGTTGGGAGAGGGAAAAAAGGAGGGAAAGAGGAAGTCCTGGGGAAAAAAAGCAGAACACATTGTATTTTTATGCATTTATGAATACGCCAAAGTGAACCCCACTAGTACGTGTAACTATAATGCACTAATAAAAAATTAAAATAAATAAATAAAAAACCCCACACAGAGGGTGTGTTGATAAACCAAATTCATATCAAGGGAAGTCTGACTCAAGATCCCCATTTCTAAATGTCCCTCTACCATTGGTATCTCAGAAATATTATGCATCTGAAATAATTATCATAAAAAAGGAGCTTAACAATGAAAATGTCATATTAATAACGWCAACAATAACTTTTTTAGGTTATACTGTCCACAAGGCATTTTAGATCTCAAAAACATAGGAATAGTAATGATCATACATTTCCTAAGAAAAAGATTATGCCATGGTAATTAACTCTTACAAATCTATAGTGTCAAGTCACAGAATAAAGATTTCCTAGATTTTAAAAATCTATGTTTAATCACTGTCTTAGAGATATGTAAATGAATAAGTATTAGTATCACCAGGAGCAGATCCTGAAATGTCTTCGAACAGTTTGGAAAAAAAGTTGATGTTCGAGAATGAGTGATTGATACAAAGATGGAAATTTCTTCTAACCTGAAGAAGTTAAGAAAATTGTACACATTTAAGTGGCAATGGTGGGTGACTTGGATGAGTGAGTCATAGTCACTGGTAGGACCCAACACAGGATGAAGGATGCCCTAGGGTGACGTAGTAAGGAGAAAACTTTCCCTGAGGTGCCAGTTGGCGGTTCAATGAACACTGCATTTCCCTCTTTCTCCAGAAGATACACCAGCTTCATGGAAGCAGAAAACTGCACACAGGTGTCAAAATTCCTGCTCTTGGGCCTCTCAGATGATCCTGAACTGCAGCCAATGTTCTTTGGACTGTTCCTGTCCATGTRCCTGGTCACAGTGYTTGGGAACCTGCTCATCATYCTGGCTGTCAGCTCTGACTCCCACCTCCACACCCCYATGTACTTCTTCCTCTCCAACCTGTCCTTSRMTGACATCTGCTTCATCTCCACCACGGTCCCCAAGATGCTGGTGATCATCCAGGCACAGAACAAGGGCATCTCCTACATAGAGTGCCTGGCACAGGCATATTTTTTAAGTACTTTTGCTGGAATGGATAATTTCCTACTGACCATGATGGCCTATGACCGTTTTGTGGCCATCTGTCATCCATTGAGTTACACAGTCATCATGAATCCCAGGTTCTGTGTCCTGCTGATCCTGCTATCTTGGTTCATCATTTTCTGGGTGTCTCTGATTGATATTCTACTGGTGAAGAGACTGAACTTCTCCACTAGCACTGAAATCCCACATTTCTTCTGTGGACTGGCTCAGCTCCTTAATGTGGCCACCTCTGATACCCTTATCAACAATATCTTTCTGTACGTGTCGACTGCCCTGTTAGGTATGTTTCCTATGACTGGGATCCTCTTCTCTTACTCTCAGATAGTCTTCTCCTTGATGAAGATGTCCTCCGTCGCTAGCAAATATAAAGCATTTTCYACCTGTGGGTCTCACCTCTGTGTGGTCTGCTTGTTCTATGGAACAGGGCTTGTGGAGTACCTCACTTCTGCTGTGACCCATTCTTCCCTGAGAACCATGATCGCCTCCATGATGTACACTGTGGTCACCCCCATGCTGAACCCCTTCATCTACAGCTTGAGGAACAAGGATGTGAAGGGGGCCCTGGGGAGACTCCTCAGCAGAGCAGCCCCTTGTCCCTGATGGACCACTGACTTCAGAACTAGAGAATCTGTTCCGTAATGCAAATGTGAACTTGAATATCTAGGCTCTTTTTTCACCCCTAAAATACATGCTTAATTTCTTCTATTTGCTATGACTTCTCTTATCTATATTTTTGTATATATTTCCCCCCAACAACTCCCTTACTAACCTCTTTTCAGTTTTCTTCCTTATACATGGCTCATAAAGTTCCAAGATTGGTGAAATTTCTTATAGGCAATTTCTGAAATTTCCACTTTTATGGGAATGGTGAAATTAAATTGACCAAACTATCTTATGTACATATATGAATATATCACATATCACAGTGAATTTCAACTTTATATATATATATATATATATATATATATATATATATACACACACACACACACACACACACACACACATATGTAAACCATTGATTAAAAAAATCTATAAAATACAAATTTATAAATAAACAAGGAAGACCAGTAAAAGTAAAAGACAGTGAACAGGGAGAGGGAAGATGGAAGAAAAATAGGAAGTATTGGGAACCCCCCAAAATTAATGACAATATTATGTCTCAGTATAATGTAATAATAAGTGAAAATTAAAAAATTGAAGACTTTCATATCAAATGCCATCATGGTTTTGTTAGAATTTATAGCTTGAATGTTGGTGCTCATCACTTGAACTTGAAATGTTATTCTTGTTTTCTCTGGAAGAAATGGAATGAAAACCATCAGAGTGCTTCCTGTATCTGTCCTGTGTTTGCTGATTTTCATATTTGATTTTACTTATTCTGAAAAGATTGCTTTGATGTATTTTCTCTCAATCACACAATTTCTGAAGGGAAGAGACCTTGCATGAGAATGAGCCTTTGCTGAGTGCAAGCCCCTGCCTTTGCTATCTTAGGTTTTGTAACAACAGTGGTTGGATTTTGAGCATGAAGGCTGGAGTCTGCCTTTGAAAGCAGTGTGCTGCTAGGACTCATGGTGGWATCAAGGGCTTTGGATGACCCTGACATGTTGCTCTGTTCTTTGTGATCCTTGCAGTGTTTCCTTTCAAAATCCTTCTTTCTTCCTCTCTTGTTTTCTTTCCTTCTCCATTCTCTCCTTCCCAACTTCCCTCCTTCCTCCTCTGGTTGTTTGGGTTAATGTTAACTATTTATCTTCTTTCTGTAACTGAGTAATTTTTCTCTTTACGTGTGCATCACTAATTGCTTTTATATTAATCTTTTGTTGGTCTTTTAATTTCTACCATTTTGATATTGTTAACAGTGGTGCCTAAAAGGATGTTTGTGAACATTGATTATTTGAGTATAGTCGTATGTTAAAATAGTGACAGACGGTATATTTGATAGTGGTCCCATAAGATGAGGTCGTCTAGTGACATCCCAGCCATGTGAGTTTATGTAAGTGACCTGTGATTTTGCACAACAGTGAAACTGCCAAAAGATGCATTTCCTATGGTTCRACAGTGCACGGTTATGTGGCTGTCAGTTGCTTGGGTAATATATACATAGAAGCAAGACACTGGGTGRTAAGGCAATGATATATTCAACTTTTTAAGGAATCATCAAGCTGCTGTTTTGTTGTAGCTGGTGTGTTTCACATCCAATGTGTGAAGGTTCTGGTGTCTTTACGTCATTACCAAAACTCGTCATCTTCAATTTGATCTAAACCAAAGCTTCCTCTTGGCTGTGAAGTAGTATCTCTTCAGGCTTTGGATTTGTGTTTCCTTATGACTTTTCAGGTACTTGTTGTCAGTTAATAAATCTTTTGTGGGTAAATGTCKTATCGAGTCTGTGCTCATTTCCTAATTTTGTAGATTATGTCATCATCAGGGTGTCCAGATGGGGTCCAGGTCCTTGGTGTCCCAAACAAAGAACTGAGCAAAATACACACAGGTAACAGGCAAAGYACAGACTTATTGAAGACAAAGGTGGAGGTAGCACTCTGGTAAGTAGAGTACAGTGGGCTGAGCAAGAGAGAGAGGCCAGAGGCCCTGATGTCTGGAAATGAGTGTGTCATGCTCTCAGCTGTGGGGTGTTCTCTTCCTATATGCACCTGATTGAAGACCTTACCCCGTTTGCTCCCAGTGGTTACCTATGGGACCTGATTAGAACATTGTCCAGTTTCCCCCCATTGGTCATTTTAAAGTACTTGCAAGTTACTTTATTTTCCACCAAATGATCTTCTTCTGCCTCCTTTCCTTGCTTTCYGGAATTCAGAACCTTTTCCAATAAGTCAKATTTACCCATTCCTCAAAGGTAGTACTTTCTGGAAAGTTTCCCTCTCTTCTCCACTCCCTCCCATGAATTCCAGGTCCTTATTAGATTTCCTGTTTCAATTAGTTTATTAATAACTGCTCACCCAAGATCCATTATGCATGGGGCATTGTCCCTTTTGTGCTTGATGTGATTGGGTGTTTCTTCTGTCATCTACCTGTGCTTGCCGTCAGATGTGAGTTAATAACATCATTGAATAGTTTTGTATTTTGGTCATTGTCATTGTCATTATCTGTTCACTTTAGTGGCCACTGTATATATAATCACATAATCATTTCTATTTTTTTTTTTTTTTTGGTACTCAGGCCAATTCAGTGCTCTGGAGAATACTGAATGATTGGAGTTGGAGTATGTACTCTTGCCATGTTTATGAGCTGACCACAAATATCTATAATATTGTATTGCAGCACTTTGTTTTTATTAGGGTTTTCCAACAATCATTTTTGAGTTAAGAAGTTATTGCTGGTTTCCTCATGACTGAGGATACTCTGGCCTGGCTGCTAAAAATAGCATTAGCTGCTAAATCTTCTGAAGGACATTCTTCTACTGTGATTTTTTTGTTATGATTTCTCTTCATTGTCCTACTTCTTTTTTTGTGCTGTAACTGACATGCTGGTCTTAGTCTTTGTTACACATCCAAGGTTAGCATTTGTGGAACATCTACTAGGTGATAGGGACTCTGTCAATCCCTGTAAAGAAATTTGAGAGAAAACTGTCACAAACTCAGGTCTACAGATAAGTGTCAGTTTGCCAGTGTGAGAACAACATCAAGGAGACCCCAGGATCTGTTCTGTGGACCTCACACACTCGTCCCTGCTGACCCTCACCCTCACTCTGTCCCTGCTGAGCTCTCCATCATAATGGCCTCTCTTAACCCCTCCSGATGCCACTCTCCACCTGAAAGGACAGCCCCACCTTCTCTCCTCTCAGCCCAGGATGTCTCTTCCTTCCTTTCTCCCTCTAGTTAACCACGACCCCTCCTGCCTCTCAGCCCAGCATCCCTATTTCAGAGAAGACTCTCCTTCCAACCTGTGACCGACTACACTGGTTTAAATTTACTTTTTTATGTCTTGAATTAATTCACATAGCCAGACTTGAATCACACTGTAAATCTTTATTTTGTTAAAACATTTATTTTTAGTTGTAGATGGACACAGTATCTTTATTTATTTTTATGTGGTGCCGAGGATGGAACCCAGTACCTCACACATAAAAGGCGGGCGCTGTACCACTGAGCTACAGCCTCAGCCCCTGTAATTCTTTGTTTTTAAGCCAGCAATTTATCTTTTAATTTTTCCAGGATGATTGATCTATATAATGCTTAAATATTTGTAATCAAATCAATCAATTATATAATTTTGGCCATTATCTCTGGTGATTATTAATACAAAACATCTCCACTCAAAAACATGGACACATGAGCACACATACATCCTTATATTCAATTTTTCTTTCTTTTTTCTGGTACAGGGGTTTGACTCAAGGTGCTCTACCACTGAGCTACATCTCCAGCCCTTTTATGTACTGAAACAGGGTCACTAATTTGTGCTGCTCCTGCCCCCTCCTTATAGGCACGGGCCACCCACAGCTGCTTATAGGCACAGGCCACCTGCAGCTGCAGCTCTGACTGCTATTGTGGTTGTTAACAGTTGTTTCCTTTCTGAGTGGTGCTGAGAATTGAGTCCAGCATATGGAGCATGTTGGGTGGGTGCTTTGCTGATGAGCTACACCCCTAGCCCACTCGGGAGAAATTTCACCTTACTCCAGCCATGACCTACCCCCCACTACCTGGGTCTACTTGGGGCAGGTTATGTGCTAGGGACTTTCCCCTATTTTGTAATTTGAAGTATCCACTAAGGTTCAAACCTTCCTTCATCCATCAACTTCCTGAGCCCTTACCAGGTTAAGCTGCTTCTCTGCTGGGTTATGACCAAGAATGGAAAATCCAACACCCCTCCCTTGCCTGGTGCCCAGTGGAACCTCAGTCTGTCCTGGGGACGGAGAAGAATACAGTATCAGATAGAAATTTTCAGATGCAGACAACCAAGTGAGGAGAAGACACAGGTATGGAGCCCACAGGACTTGGAACAACTAAAGGATTGGAGATACAGGCTCATTATTTCGATTATGGGACCTGGAGGGTCACTGCAGAAGCTGACAGCTAGTAGTAATATTGATCTGTGTTATCATAGTCTCTAAAGACTTCCGATATTAGTAGTAGAAGAAGAAGAGAACATGGATATCTACAAAAGTTTTGGGACTCTATCTCTACTCCAGAGATAGCTCATGCATACAATTCATACCACTCCTTTCTTTTATTTTTTTCAAGACTCATCTTTTTATTTTGTTTTTTATTGTGGCAAAATATACAGAGCCAAATATACCACCATTGAAACTACTTAGTTGCATTTGTCCGTTGGCATTAATTACATTCACATACTTGTGTAATCATGGCCATCTTCCATCTCCAAAAATGTTTCATCCTCTGGATTCACAGGTTTGTACACATTTTAAAAATGAATTTAGAAAGAAAGGACATTTTCCCTACCATAACTTGTGAATCTGAAATGATACCTAAAATCTCCAGAGACTGTGAGCTGGAGAAACATCACAGGAGCTGGTTCTGGGGACTTTGCATACATTCTCAGTCATTCCTTCCTAACTTTTCTCCCTTATACATGGTCCATAAAGGTCCAAGTTTTTTTTAAACAGGTATTCCTGAGATTTCCAC